TGGACTTACTCACTGGAGTTTGTGTACACCTTTAAGCATTATGGGAACTCTATCGTAGTTCTCAAAGTTTAGGTTTTTTCCTATTCTCAACTGTTATTGGCTACAATACATAAAATGATCTCCAACAAAAGACATACATCAACACCAAACACACTAGACTTTTAAAAATAAAAACATTACATTATATTTAAGCCGAGTTCAAAATGTCCTTTTCCCCAGCAACTGCTTGACATTGCTGGGAAAACCATTAGAGCTCTGCATTGATGGTATAGCCTAAGACTTCACTGCATCAGCAATCTGCTCTCGATCTGTTTAAAGTACAAATAGAAGTATTAATATTCGGTTTGTTATTAGGTTTTACCAAGAGCTCAGGTCATGTTTCTGATTCAGGATTGAGTGGATTGTTACTTTGTACTAAGTCGTTTTAGCAATTTGCTTTGATTCTGTTTATAGGTCTACAGTACATTATTTACAGGGACCAATAGGATCGACGGGTACATTAGCAAATGGGTCCAGTCTTAGTTTAAAAAGACATAAAAGCACCGGGGGGGTGGGGGGGTCAACTTAGCGCTGTTACTAAATCAATGGGTTTGGGTTCAGTTAGTGTTACAAGCTGTGCTGAAAGAATATTTGATTGTATGAATGAAACTTCATTCGAAAGTGACTATTTATTATGAGCCTAAAGCAAAATCCAATCCTAACCATAGCCAATGGCCAGTTTTGAGATGAAGTGAAGACTCTACTAAGTGACCACATTCCTGATGATAGTCAGGTCATCACTCAGATTAATACTAGTTCTGTAGTACACTGTGTTTTGCAATACCGTGTTCACGAAACTCATGAAACGTGTTCATGAAAATCATTATGTAAAGTCCATGTTGCTCTCATGTGCTTATATTGGTCAGGGACATCTGTGTTGTAGTGCTATCACAGTAGAGGCTTCCAAATCTCACCCATACTGGACTGAATAAACGTCATTTTGAATGTGATTATACCAGTTAATTGTGCAAATGTAAGGATAAGCAGGAAGTACAAGTGGGGACATTTCCTAGGAGAGTTTTGCCTTAGTGTAGCTATGGCACTGTACTAATGTGTAGCTATGAAACTAATGAGCACTGTAGGGATTTGAATGTGACTGTATAGTTTTTGTTTTCTCTCTTATTTGCATATGTGTGTCACACATGAGCATTGTTTTTTTGATGCATATGTACTCAGTGAGTGTGCACTCAGTGTATCTGTAACTGTTAGTCAGGCTGTTAGAAAATAGAAGGGTGAGTAAGAAAATATGAACATAAGGTGTCAGTGTGTTGGGATGTAATATTGATCATTTCTTCATTCACACTGACGTGCAGATATGAGCTGACTCTCCAGTCGCAGATGTCAGACTGTCCTTGAGTACATAAACTTTTACTGTATTGTGTTTAGTCACAGAAATAGAACAAGTGCATTTAGAGATTTGTTATTTATCCTGATTAATGGAAGTAAATTAAACTCTTGCTGCAGGCTCAATCATATTCTGTCGTATTCAAATTTTTGTCTGGGCCGTTTTTAGCATAGCTGCTTTTCCTGTTGTAGGTCAGTCTGTAGTAGTCCTGTTAGTCTCTTGGTTTTGTGCTTCTCATAGATACTCTGCAGTCTGGCCAGAGAGTAATCCTTCAATTTGCTTTTCATTTTTGGCAAATGGACAAAGTTGCAGGGAGGCAAATCTGGCAAGTGGTCCAGCTGGTGAGCAAAGTTTATGTCGGTGTTCCAGAAAAGGTGCCTACGTGATGTTTTTCCTGCTTGCCAACACCAGCTCTGATTGTTTGCTGTAAGTTTCCTCCTCTAGCTAAGTGAGGATGTTACAGTGGAACTAGGGGCTGAACTCACAGTGAAAAATCCTGTGAATGCTGAAAAATGACGCGCATAGTCCTGGCTTTATGACTGTGACATTGTAGACTTAGAGGCGAAATTCAAGCCAGATTTTGGAGAGTTACTGAAATTGGACTAGTTACATAAAATGATATGTCATTGCATGGCTATCTTTGGAGCTATTGTTGGGCTAATATAGACACAGAAGCACTGAAATACTTTAGGGTGAGGGTTGAATTGTTCCTAATTACATGTTGGGGGTTAGTCTGTGGTACTTGATTGGCAAAGTTCTGTCGTAGGGCAGGAAGAAGACATGGTTTAATTGGAGT